GGAAATGTGGTCCTTTCTTAGAAGAAAAAAAATACATTAAAGGGAAATCAACCTCAAATTGACACAGATACTGCAATTATCAGTAAAGGACCATAAAGTAAATATTAAGCTATGCTCAGTGATATAAAAGAAAATAGACTCACAATGAATGAAAAAACAAAAAATCTCAACAGAATGAAAAGAGACAAGTTACAAAATAAATGGAAACTCTAAAATTGAAAAATACAATATCTGAAGTAAAATATTCAGTGGATGGCCTTAAGAGAAGTGAGAGAGGAAATTGTTAGCAAACTTAAAAATAGATCAATAGAAGTTATCCAATCTGAAGAGCAGAGAGAAAAAAAACTGAAAAAAACAACCTATAATAACTATAGGGACCTGCAATGAAGTAGCATAGAAAGTTGATAGATAAAATATTTGAAGAAAACAGTGATTAAAAATTTCCCTGAATTTGCTGAAAAGCATCAATTTATAGATTCAAGAATCTCAGTAATCCTCAAGCAGGAAAATATGAAAATAACTATACATAGACACATTATATGTGGTGAAACTGACAATAAGGAGAAAATCTTTAAAGCGGCCAGAAAAAAAATGACTCATTATAGTCAGAGGAACAATGTTTTGAGTCTGCCACCTTCTCATCAGAAATAGTGAAACAACATTTTTAAAGTGCTGAAAGAAAAAAAAGTCAACCAGAATTCTACATCCAGCAAAAATATGCAAGAATAGATATGCAAGAATGAAGCATATTCAGGTAAAAGGAAACTAAGAGAACTCCTTACCAGCAGAACTACACTACTAGTGATGATAATAGAAAGTATTTAGGTTGAAGGGAAATAACACCAGACAGAAACTCAGAAATTCAGGGAGGAATGAAGAGCCCTGGAAATGGCAGCTATGATGGAGATAGTATGTGTACCCAAATCCTATTCGAGGAATAAGTTTCTGCTCCTGCTGCTATAGGAGCACTGTCAGCAGACAGCCTTCAGTTCTCAGCATCTTCGGAGATCACCTCAGTTATTTCACGCACAATCAGACTTTTCCCAGGGCAGCCCACATCCGTTGACTAATTTGGAGGTATAAAGCCCCAGCCATTTTGATTCAATGCAGAGTCTCTCTGGAGCCACTCTAACTCTAGAGACCCCCATGAGGGGTCAGATGAGGGTCATGGTTAAGATTGCTGGTGGGCTTCTTCCTCTGCTCCCTTGTCCTACTTTCCAGCTGTTTCTTCCAAGGGTCCTCACTAATAAGCATTCTCTGCTCAAAACTCAACTTTTAAAGTTTATAACTATAAAAAAAAGTAATGGTTTGATTCTTAGGAGCAATTAGCATCACACAGTCCAAAGTCATTTCATAACCACAGCTCTGCTTCCTAATCCCATTTAGGAATTATCAAATGTGTGTTGATGACAACAAGAGGGAAGAGGCAAAAGTATATATTAAAAGTTACTACATTTTAATCACTGTACAGATCGATTTTTCAGATACAACATAAAACCAAATGAAAACTGAATTATCTTATTAACTAGCACCATTAACTGAAATACTCATGACTTCATTGGGAGGGAATTTATCTACTGTGGAACTCTCATTTGTTCCCATTTCCTTATTTCTATCCTCAACCTATTAGCGTCCTTACATCCAACTTCTCATCTTACTCTGCAATTTCAGAAGAGTTTCTGTCCTCTTATTTAAAGTGAAGCATTCCATCTATATGGCAGATTGTCTCCCTTCCCATCTCTTCTCAGATCTTACTCTCTGTTATAGAGAGGAAGAAATAATTATCACTCCTAGGACCCAAATCCAAAAACCTCTAGAGTTTATTCTATTATTTTTATCTCTTCATGTGTACTCTCTTTGTGGGATCCTCCATCCACAAATTATGGATGTGCTATACTTCCAAGTGCTCATAGGGATTTTCATCCTATGTGTTTGCCCTCTCTATACTGAATTTAACATCTTCCTCTGCAAAGAAACTTCCCTTCTCAGCTGCCAATGCCTGTCAGTAATATCACGGGCCTTCCTAAAATGTAAACTCAAGGGTAGGAGCTCTTGCCCCTGCTTGAAAATAAAGCTTTACCAAGTTCCACTCCCACTCAGTGAGATACCGATGCCACATTTTTCTCCAAAATATTGTTTTATTATATTATTTTCCTGACTAGTGTACAGTATCCAAGTTTCTTTGTTTAGAGATCAAGGACCCCTGAAATTCAGCCTTATTTCCTGCAATCATATAACAAACAATCTCTGATCCATCAAGCTAAGAGTTCTTTTTCTCCCCGAACAACCTTGCCTTTGATCACGCTACACGTCTCCTCCTCCCACTTTCTATCTCTGCCTTTCCGCATCTATCCAAACCTATCATTCAAGACCCATCTCTTCCATAAAGGCTTCAATAAGTCCAACCCACCATAATTTCTCCTATCTTTGGATTTTTACTAGATTCATGCACAATTTCAAGACTGACTGATTGAAATGTTCTCCGTTTGTTTCATCTTAGCTTGATCTCTCTAATTTAGATTGCTAACAATCTTTAAGCCCTATTCCCACACACACACAGACACACACACACAGACACACACACAGACACACACTCTATGTACAAGACTCTATATAAAGACTTTTGGTTCATTTGTTAATTGTTTAAGCATGGATGTTTAGAGGAAACCACACCTAAAAATTACTATAATGTGTAAATTCACAGCTATCACAAATTAGAAAAGGAAGAGAAGACTGAAATTAATGAGGACAAACACCTTCTTTTTCTCAATTGCTTTTAATCTCTTTTTTGGTTTTTTGCAAACCTGCTGAAGCTACCAAACAGCCCTGCCTTGATTTTTATCTCTTCTTCTTGTTACTGCTTGCCCCCTACTGGGAGATAATAACAGATGGTCAAAATTAGCCCAAAGGAGAAAAAAGGTTGTGGGTTCCTTTTCAGTAACTCATAATCTCAATATCTGTGAGATTATATATCTTTATAAAAGATAGAATCTTTTATAAAAGATTTTGATGGGGACGTCAAAATATAATTTGAACACAAGAAAAAATCTAGAAGACAATAGAATTAAGTAACAAAGAAGTGGTGTGGGGTAAAGGGAGTTTGAGGGAAGGGGACCAGACACAGTGTTGGAGAGCTTTATTCTGCAGTGGATGATTAGCATTGTTTTTATTTTTCCCTCTCAGGTATTTTCTTAATAAATCTTGTCTATCAATTTTGTCTATCAACTACCACACTGCTTGAATTTATAAGCAAATAAGTTAAAAAAAAAGTAAGTGGATTTTTTTAAATAGTATGTTGTTTACAGTGAAGTCATTAGCTCTCTTTCTCCTTTGTGAGTTTGTCTTGTATAATAAAGTGAGTTATTTCTGTTTGGCAGCATTAATAACAAAATATTAGTGATAAAGATATAAACTCATGCCCCAAGTGCTTTGCGTATCATTATTCTGAATTGTTTCATGGTGAATTTATCATGCGAGATCACTGCACATAAAGTAATTTGCTTTTCCATATCTTTATCCTAAACATTCTGATAACATTATAATTATAGAAGCACAGACTTCAGAGGTTTGATATTTGTAGTATCGCCTAGTTGTGGTTAGAAATAGTTTTAAAATCCAAACCTTTAAAGCATTAAATTCAAAATTATTGATTATGTTTTAATCTTGATCTTTTTTCTTTTACCCAAAAGTCATAGTGCAACTTGACATAAATAGCTCATTGCCTAGCTGACATTCCCTGCCAAGTTGAATCCTGAACAGGTTTCTTTAAGAACTTTCTACAACAAGACCTCAACTATTGAAAGATTCAAATCAATTGATTTTTTTTTTTTAAGTGAGTAAATACTCCATTCAGTTTATAACTAAGTATTGGCTTAGTGGCAGTTGTTAGTGAAAAGCATAATGACTAAGTATTGAGGAAAATTGCCTATTCAAATGTTTAGTGATGCTTACAGATGTATATTATTACTGGGTATGACTGTCATATACTAGTAGTGTAACCTTGGACAAATCATTTCACCTCTCTATGCCTCAGTTTCTACCTTTGTAAGATGGAGAAATATCTTCTATGCCTGCTTCACTGGGTTGCTGTGCAGATCAGAGGAGAAAAAGTATGTGAAAATGCTCCATAGAAAAGTACAGTAATACAGTATAGTTACTTCATGTGTGCTCACCAGTAAGATTAACATGCAGAAAAACAGATGTTTTGCTGGAAGATAGTATTTTAAAGTCATTTATATGAGAAAAAATACTTTTCTTCCTTCAGTTACCAAACTATAAAATTTAAAACCAAATGTTTCCTTGCAGCTGCTTCCATCTACTACAAGTGAAACCTGAAAACTCCCTCCCACTCCTACCAACCCTCTATAGTGAAACCCGGACAGCCCCGCAATAGCCCTAAGTTCTCCACAACTCCTGCAGGAAGCTAGATGTTGAAGAACGTGTCTTCTAACCCAGAAACTGTCTCTGACAGCCCACATATGTTAAAGATAAATACAGACCTACATCACAGACGCACGACCAAACTTCGGAACGTATTATATTTTGAAAAGTGCCTGGTCATCGAAAGTGACAAGAAAGCAATAAACTTTCCTAATTTATACTGTTAACAATATGGACATAAATAGGTTGGGATTATTATTTAAGTTTTTTAAGAGGGGGAGACGAAAATAGCGCCACTTTTTTCAGGTGACTTGAATTGCTACTAGAAATTAATTTATTCTGTCTTGCTCAAAAAAGGGGGAGGGGGAATAAGGAAATGGGCAGTGGGGCAAATTATAGAGATATGTAGAGTGTAGTAGGACACAAAATAAGTAAGACAAAGAGGAAAATAAGAATAATAAAGTGAAGTAAGTTTAGAAGGAAACCCCATCCCCCATATCTCAGATTGCATTTATCATGCTCTGCTCCATAAGAAAGGCAAAGAAAGCTCAGGAAAAGCTTAGACCAGGTTTCTCACCAGTCATTCTCCTGTCACCCTCCCAAAGAGAATTCAAACCCACCTGCAACTAAGAAGAGAGTCAAAATCAGTAGTAGCTGAAGATCAGAAGTTATCCAAGTGCAGGGCATTTCTGTTTTCTTATTTTCTGCCCTTCACTCAGCACTGTTCCTCCACACAGGTGTAAAAGGAGCTATGGACATGGTGAGGCCCTCTCTCGTCCACTTCTCCGTGCTGGATCCTCTTAGCCCATTAGCAGCATGACACTTCTTTCCTCGTAGCCCCTTCCATCAACTCTATGTGTTTCAGCCTGATTAGTAACTTGGAACAGAAGAAACTTCTCTGGAACTTGACACAGCAATAGATTTCCTGTATGAAGCACTGAAGCAAAGACGGAGGAAGTGGATTGATTGAGTTATCTTTCAGCTCATTGGTCCTCTTCTCACTTCTGCTGTACACAGATAAACTTTACAGTAAGGCATTGAACGTGCCCAAGATAAACTGATTTGTCTAAATTTGGTTTAAAAAGCAAAACAGGATATTTCTCTATATTTGACCCATCCTGTAAATTTCCCAGTCATCATAACTTTTAGCAGTTATCTCCAGTTTGAAGAGGTGTACAGCCTCAGTAATCAAGTTTAGAATAAAAGATTTTCCCTTGAAAATTCTTATGTGATTACTGTCTATAATGGGAGTCACATACAACTCTAGAAGCATCATAATTGTATTACTACTGTAATAAATTACCACAAACTGAGTGGCTTAAAACAACACAAATTAATTATCTTACAATTCTAGAGGTCTGAAGTCCAAAATAGATCTTATAGAGCTAATATCAAGGTGTTGGCAGGGCTGTGTTCTTTCTGGACACATGGAGAGAATCTGTTTTTTGCCTTTTCCAGCTTCTAGGGGTCACTTGAATTCTGTGTCTCATGGCTGCATCATTCCCACCCCTGTTCCTTTGTTATATCTTCTCTGGTGGTAACTCTCCTGCCTCCCTCTTATAGAGACCTTTGTGATTATATTGGACCACCCAGGTAATCCAGGATCACAGCCCCATTTCAAAATCCTTAACTTAATCACATCTGCAAAGTCTCTTTTCCTGTGTAAGACTACACGTTTACAAGGGGTTAGGACACGGACATCTTTGGAGGGAGCATAATATTGTCTATCACAATTCAGTACTTATTCCCATTCACTTTCATGTTTGAAGAGCTAGAATGATCATTTGAACCAAATTACAAATAAATACTCATCTTTAGTTGCCACACGTCTGGAATTTAGAGTTACCAAAAAACAAAAAAACAAAAAATACACCTGCCTTAATGTGACTATTCATAGGTTTTTAGATTATGTTTGGGAGGAACAGACTCCTCTATGTGCTAAGAGTTTCCTACCCCAAGGCAAAGCTCCCCAGGAAGGGGAAGAAAACATTGCAAACAGGAAAAAAATTAAATAACATGCATTTTTTTTCTTTAAGCTAGCAGTTCCATCTTGCCTCTTGCCAAAGAGTAAACTATATATATTTCCCCTCTTCCCCTTCTCAAGCTTTCCTTCCACTGAGTCAATTTAAGACAGTGAAATCAGGTGCTTGAGGGCATGGAATACTTCAAAAGACCATAGGTTGATCTCTGCTGGACAATTACTAATCTGATGATACTAGGCAAGTTTCTTAATTGAGTCTATGACCTATTTTTTCCACTTAATATTATATTGATATGAGCATTTTCTCATGTCATCAAAAATTCTTGATGATCATTTATGTTGATGCCTGTTCAATGACACAGCCAAAACTAAAGCACAGAAGGGTTACATGATCTGCCTGAGGTCCCAAAGTGACTTGGTGACAAAGCTGGGAGTAAAACTCACCTTTCAAGTTCACTAGCCCTCTGTTCTTTCCAGTTAACTCCTCTGGTTTGAACTTTCAGGCAACAACTTTAAATAGACACACTCCTATGCCCTCATCTCAGGTCCAACCACAATGTACAAGCAGCATTTTAAGAGTCAAGCACGTGGTGTGAAAAACCATAGAATTCTCAAAGTAGATTTGGCGGGATGAGACCTTCTCTTCACACTCTTACATCCCCTCCATCCCAAAACCCCATCGCCCCAACCTCCCAACTCCCACCTTGACCTCTTATGCAGAGCAAGTATTTGGAAGAACAATAAAGAGACCAAGAGTTTGTTAACATAACCATCCACCAAACATAAGCCGTGAAAGTCAACAGAATGAGAGAAAAATGTGCTTGTCTTGTGTATGCAGGTCTCTGAAAAATCTCAAAGATTCTCCTTAGGTGTGCCCCTTGGGTCCCAAAAAGCAGAGCAAAAGATGGAAACAAGATCAAGAGAAAGGTACCCCTCAAACCAGAACTCAAACCTTTGACTCCACCAGTCTTCCACCTCCTCTTCAGTACTGCCAATTATGAATCAGTGCCCACAGAGACAAACAGAACAATGTTATGCAGGTTAATGTTGTAGTAGCCAAGACGAAAAGGCCTAGTAAGCTTTAGTAAGTTAGAGCTGCTTTAAGACATAATGCCCCCAATTTGCACTGTTGATTTACTAAAAAAAAAAAAAAAAGATTAATCTGCCTATAAATGCTTTTGAAGTAAACTTCTTCCAGTCAGGTGTATCTCTTTTGTCTCATGTCACAGTCATGCTTAGCCACAACTGAAACCAGTCAAGAAGATGTTGTCATCTTGCCCTTGGGACCCCTCCCCATTATATAAAGGCTTTGCATGGACCTTGAATATTTACTGCACAGACTCTAATGGCCTTTTATTTCTGACCCCTTGTTCTCCATTGCCTGCTCTTTCACCTCTTGGATTTGAGTCTTGATTGCCTGTAACTGAAGTACCTGCCTGCTCCTTCTTCCTCAGCTGAGTCTTCTGGATGTGTATCCTTGCGGTAATGGGCCAATGCCTACTTGTCTTGTCATTTTTGCTCTCTGTGAACATTCTGGCTTAGATATGTGGCCTGACTTACCCTTCCATTTGCATGTGCATACACACGCGCACACACAAACTCACATGCACACTACTAAACGCTTAATCCCAAGTCCCTCAGTTTACCCTGTCCTACTGCCACCCAGTTGCTAATGTAACTATTTCATGGAGGTGAAAGAACAATGCCCAACAATGTGAAGAATTTCAAAGGATTCAAACTCTACAACGCTCCACTTTTTATTTTATTTCTTCCCTGCCCTCATGGTACAATGGTTAGAGATCTGAGGCTAATGAATTACCACAGAGCCACTATAATTCAATCTGTGATTGCATAAAATGGCTGGTCTCCTAGCCACTTCCTATTTCCCTATTCTCTAATTCACTTTTCTGCAATCTTCCCTGACCCAAGCTCTGAAGACCCATCTGAAGTCCTGGATCTTCTTCCATGCACAGTCATTAAATGTACTGATGAGTAACTTAAGAAAGCCTCATAAAATGTATATTTCTATTTTTTACATTCTACTATGTCATTGATATTTACCTTAAAAATTTTCACTTCCAATATACAGTTGTTGCTATACCTCCATAATTCTCCTTTAAAAGTTAGAAGATAGATAAGAGCTAATCATTGTTTTCCAATATAAGTTCATAAATTGTACAAAAAGAAAATTTAGAAATAAATATTTGAAAATAAAATGTATGCAATATCAAAAAAACAAGTAAAACCAGAACAGAGAAATTAGTAAACACATTTTATATATTTATATTTTGTTAAAATATCAATTCTAGACCTCACTGGTTCTGTCCATAGTAAATAGTTAAGATCCTGTTCTAAGCATTTTATAAATATGGCCTCATTTAACCCTCTCAACCCTATGAAGTAAAAACATTATTATCCCCATTTTACAGTTTACTAAAGTCAGTAAATTGTCCAGTCACACAGCTAATAAGTGATGGAGATAGGATTCAAGCCCAAGAAATCTCACTCCAAATCTGTCTCTTAATTATTACTTTACTACCTATTTTTTAACTCTGTCTTGACTCTAATACATCTCCCACACTTATCACCTTTCCTTAATCTGTTCTACTCACTCATTCTTTCTTCCATTTGGGCACTCTTACAACTTAATAGTTTGTTTTGAAGAGAGAGAGAGAGAGAGATACATGGACGTATGGATGGAGGGAGAGAGGGAGAGACAGAGACGGAGAGACAGAGACAGAGACAGAGGGAGAAACTCTGTGCTCTGCCTCTAATCACTATTTGCAGTAAGATCACTCTCTGCTGCCCCCTGGGGATAATTTGGTGAAACCAAAGCTAATGTTTTTACAAATCAATTTATTAGCAAATTCAGTAACAGCTACACTTTGAGATTTTGATTACAAAGTATGTTAACATTCTAACATGTTACTCCACTTCCCAAAGAGAACTTGGATATGGGGGAGGGCGAGGAGTGCTGACCAGGGAAACATCCCTTTTCTGTGGCATTAGAAAGGGGAGGGACAGCTGGGGACCTCCCCAACCCATTTCCCCCTCCTTCCAAACTCCTGACCAGCCCCTCAATCAGTGTTTGAGCCTCCTAATTCCCCTTACACACCCCTTGGTGAATCTTGGTGATGATTTTGGCAAGTTCGGGTAAAACTGGCAATTCTCAGAGAAGAAGAAAAAAAAAAAACTTCAGAGGAAGTTATGTTATTTTCATCTATGAATGACAACTGGGACAGGGAAGTCCAGAAGAATACAGAAATGAATTGAAAGGAATGAAAAGCCAAGTCATATACCTTGGCTATAAACCAATATCCAGGCAAAGTATTCTGAAAAGAGACACATGTTATCTAATCTCCAAAACGCCTTAATTACTAGAGTCAAGAAGGAACAGGAACTTTTAAAAATAAATTTTCCAGACTGAGCTCAATGGGATCACCTTAAAAGTTTTAGACAGTATTAAATTAATAAATTATTTCTGTGCAACTTTCTGGTAAAAGGATATGAAACATGAAAATTATATCATTCATAGAAGCTTGTATCTCTCTACAATTTCATTCAATTTTCAATGGAACTTTTTCAGGGAAATGACAAATGTTCTGTTGACCGTGGTTTTATTATATCAGTGGCTTAAAATTTGTATTCCCAAACTACATATTTGACCATACTACATATTCGTCTGTTTTTTATGACATCACATAATGTTTTCAATGATTAACCAGAATGTAGTTTAAGTTGGTTAAATTCTCATTAAATTTGGAAGTTTAAGAATGTTAACAATTTTTTTCCTAGTTTTCAGAGTAGCTGTTAAGACCATGGTTCCGAAAGTTGAACTTCCTGGGTTCAAACTTCAGTTTTGCTGCTTAGTTTTTGATTACTGCATTTTTTTTTTTCTG